CAGTTTCGTGAATCGAAATTTCTAATAGATATCAAATTTCAATTTCTATAAAATTAAATAAAATGATACGTCGTTGAAGAAAGACTCTGAAAATGTTAAAATGAGTTCTACTTCTGTTATCACTTTACCAAACCCAAATTTTTGGCAAAGGGCCCGCGTTCTGGATATCTCTCGCCCAGATTTTGGATGAGAAACATCCAAACTGGTAGCACTGGGTCCCATTGGTGTTAGATTGTCAGTGTCGAAAGAAGTTACTCGAATTGATTGAAACCGTTGGAAGGACAGAGTCTCGAAACGCTTTAAATTCGCCCCGGTCGTCGCCTTTCCCTCTAAAAAGTTTCAGAGAAGGAAAAGGCAATGTGACTCGAGTCAGGGCTTCTGTTGAGATTATGCGTTTTCGCGGGTATTGCCGAACTCATCCATAATCTGTTATGTTTTTTAATACAATTAACACGTAGGTAAGATTATCTGAAATCGTTCCGATCTTAGAACTCTGACCGTAAAATGTAAACAGCTAGCCAGGTGTCGTAATCCTCCGAGTCCTCTCAGTCGTTAGGCTCTTTTCGTTTCTCGTAACATTGACCACCGTTCTATTTCGTGATGTCGAATGAACATAATGAGGAATAAAATGCCGCCGTTCCGAAGGAAAAAGTCGGGAAAATCGTTCCCTGTGAAAGTCTGTACTCTGGACGCCGAATTGGAGTTCAGTTTGGAGGTTAGTTTCTCCTCCGTCGCCTGCTGTCAGATATCAGATGAACATTTATTCTGAGTTTGGTGTTCACAGTGGCGGTCGACTGGCAGGGATTTGTTCGATTTAGTTTGTCGCACGATAGGATTGAGAGAAACATGGTATTTCGGGCTTCAGTACGAGGACGCGAAAGGATTCATATCCTGGCTCAAGCTAGACAAGAAAGGTGCGTGATCCATTAGCTAGGGCCGTTCATGATGATATCTAAAACGATTATTAAATTCCGTAGTTCAAGATCAATGCATCTCCCAACAACCGACGACTCCTTTCATGTTTCTGGCTAAGTTTTACCCGGAAGACGTAGCTGAAGAATTGGTACAAGAAGTAACTCAGCACTTGTTCTTTCTACAAGTGAAACAGGCTATTCTTTCGATGGACATTTATTGCCCACCGGAAGCATCCGTATTATTGGCTTCTTATGCAGTTCAAGCGAAAGTAAATACCTTGCGACTTTAGTTCATATAGTAATCGTTCTAATTCCTACTCACTGGCTTAAGATTGCATATGAAATTATAGAAAATAAAGGTAGTGAATAGAAATTGAGACATTTACTATAATTGTTTGTCTAAACTTGAACATCTCTCAGTACGGGGATTACGATGAGGTCTCGTATCGGCCGGGGATGCTCGCGAGCGAGGATCTACTGCCGCAGAGAGTCATCGATCAGTATCAAATGACGCCGGAGATGTGGGAGGAGAGGATAAAAATTTGGTACGCCGACCACCGAGGCATGTCCAGGGACGAGGCCGAGATGGAATATTTGAAGATCGCTCAAGATCTTGACATGTACGGCGTGAATTACTTCCCCATTAGTGTAAGCATTTCAATTTAACCACCGGTTTTCGGTCTGTCGCCAATCGGGATTAAGGAACGCCGATGATAATTGTTAGAACAAAAAAGAGACTGACCTTTGGCTAGGCGTGACCGCGCTGGGTCTGAACATCTACGAGAAGGAGAACAAGCTGGCGCCGAAGACTACGTTCACCTGGTCCGAGATACGTCACATCAGCTTCGACGACAAGAAGTTCGTTATAAAACCGGTGGAGAAAGCGTCGCCGAACTTCGTGTTCTTCTCGCAGAAAGTCCGAATGAACAAACTGGTAAAGAAACAGTCTGTTGTTGGCGGCTGGGTGAAGGGTTTGATAGCGTTTAAGTTCGACGAACATGACAATGACAGAGGTGGTCACGTGTTATTTGTTAAGATCTTGGACCTGTGTATCGGCAACCACGATCTGTTTATGAGGAGGCGCAAGCCAGACTCTATGGAGGTGCAGCAAATGAAAGCCCAGGCGAAAGAGGAGAAATCTAGGTACGTTCTCTCGTCACCTACCTCGCGTCTGATTTTCTTTTTCTACTAAGATCCTAATACACGCTTGATTAACTGTGTGGAATAAACGATGTACAAGTTTGGGTTTTTGATACGCGTGTGAACGTTCAACTGTGTGCATGTAAAAGTGTTATAATAAGTCTCGTCCCCTGCTCCTCCTTTTTGTTTCTGTTCGTGTAACATTAATTTATAGAAACCGAAGAAGAAACGAATGAATACTTAGTCGGGTAAGTAGTATTTTAATTTCTCCAGAAGAAAATGTGTTTGGATAACACTAAATGCATCTCTAACAAACTAACACCGATCGATTTGATAATCGGTAGTATCCTCGGTAATAATTTCGTTCTATTAGGAGACAAATCGAAAGAAATAAACTGGCAAGGGAGAAACAATTAAGAGAAGCTGCGGAAAGAGAGAAGGCAGCCATGGAGCAACGACTCTTGCAGTACCAAGAAGAAATCCGTTTAGCAAACGAAGCACTCGTAAGAAACTAACATTAACCAACAAGATCCGATTCTTTTCCATTAGAAAAATAACGAACACGTTGAATCACCACAGAGGAGGTCTGAGGAGACCGCGGATCTTCTGGCAGAGAAAAGTCGCGTAGCAGAGGAGGAAGCCATGTTGCTGAGCCAGAAAGCTTCCGAGGCGGAGCAGGAAATCACGCGTATACGATTAAATAACATGAAAACTGAAGAGGAGAAGGTTCATCTCGAACGGAAAACTAGGGAAGCGGAATTATTGACGGAGAGACTGGTCCAGGAGTCGGAACGAAGGGCCGCGGAAGCTGAGAAGTTGAAGGACGAACTGCTGCGTGCTCGAATCGCGGAAAAAGAGGCGAAAGAGAAGCTGCTCGAGTTTCTCAGTAGAAATACTTACACTGCCACTATAGCGGTAAGCATTCACGTACCTTTAATCGAATTCTTTGATAATCTCGATTCATTCTAATGTTCCCGTTCTTCAGCCCGTGCCGAATCTGTTCCCATCGACGCAGGTGCTGCCTTCCGACTTGCAGGCCGACCTGCAAACGCTTCAGTTGGACGCGGAACCTCTGCCGGCTGATCTGACCTCGTACGATCTGATCGCAGACGGCGACGTCGATCAGCTCTCGTTAGAGATCGAGAAAGAGAGAGTGGATTATTGGGAGAAGAGCAAACACTTGCAGGAACAGTTGAGGGAACTGAGGACCGAGATCGAGGTAATGAAGGTCGGGGAGAAACAGTGCGAGTTGGACCAGTTGCACGAGGAACAAGTGAGACTCGGTGAAAATAAGTACAGTACTTTAAAAAAAGTGAAGTCCGGCTCGACCAAGGCCAGAGTAGCGTTTTTCGAGGAATTATAGCCGATCCTCGGGAGACAATTTAACCAGACGAGTCCTCGATCTATGAGGTATGACGTTTCGATATCATACTTGAGACACGTACGTACGTATACGTTTTAGAATACTGAAACGTACGCTTTATTTTCTTGAATATATCTGTAGTAGTACGGTTTGCACGCTAAACGATTAAGGCGTCGACAACAGTTAGTAGATTATGCCTAAACTGCAGTAAATCTCTTCCCATCCTGTCTATCTTCGTCTGTTCTGTTGTGCTAATTGTTTTCTTTTTTTACGGTACGATCTTCGCGCGATTGTAATCAAAATCTAGTAGAATTACTCGATGTTAATGATTCGTTTAGACGTAAGCATATATATATATATATTTTTTATTTAGTGACTCGAAAAAGAAACATTATATTTTTTTTAAACGTTAAAAAGCATGCGTCGAATTACAGTTATAAGGAAGTAGTGGTATCGCATGCTTACTTTACTGTCGTTAGTCTGTGTATTAATAACGTGATCGAATGTGCCTATAAAATGATGCATCGCATGATTAGAGAGAACCGCGTTGAAGCTGCAGTCTAGTCAAACTGAAAAGTGAACTGGTTGATCATTCATTGTAACGGGAGGCACGAGAGACAATAGTTTTCATATTTTTCATCCTCTGAACAAAGTAAAAGGAACAAACTATTTTAAGGACTGTTAAACTGCAACGGTTATACGAGTACTTTTAAGATAGCGAACTTGTATATAATATCTAGCGATTTTTATTTAGAGAAATATAAGCGTTCGAGTTTTATGCCATGGATTAACGTATTATAGTTAGTTTGATTAGACTAGAGCGTTAGGAGACTTTTGTGCATTGATCGTGGCCTTTGAAAAAGGAATGTTCCTATCGACAACGTTCTCACGTTGTGGGTGTCTTTTTATTTTGCCGAAAGTTTTGATGTTCATTCGAAATCGATGACTGAAAATTCCCAGCGTCGCTAAATCTGTGATTCGAAATTTATTCTCGGACGAAAATTGTTAGTCTTCTTTATAATTTAGATCGTAACGTGTACCTGTGGATCATCTTACGAACGTTAAGTATTCACAATTTTATTCCATTCGTTATTCATGAAATTTCCATTTAAATTTCGGTTTCGTTTCGCAACGAGGGTAGGAGTGAAACGAAATCGGAGGGTCGTTCGAGGTAAAACGCTTTTTATTGTACAGGTAGAACGTGTATGTTAAATTTTAGTCTAGGTACAGTCGTATCAGATCGTCTTCCTTGGCAGGATAGCTCGTGACCGGACACTTTCTCTCCCTGTGTATCACGGGGAGGATGCATTGATAGCAGAACGCGTAACTGTAAAAGCGGAATGTTGATTATTTTTGTAAAACGCGTTAGTCTTGTAACACACATACCCAGATACCGAGAGTACCGTATGTACCCTGAGTGCCTTACAACAGATTGGACATATGCCTTTGTATCGCTTCGCTATCTCTGGAATCTATTACAAATAAAATCGAATATTTTGCACACAGTATGATTCAACAGATTTGTAGGTCGGCATAAGATTATCTCGTTACCTGCGGGGGCGGAGGAATGGGCAATGATAATAAATTCGTATTCTGATGTTCCTGAGTCCACCAAGACAAGAACTGAAGGAAGAACGCTCCGAACTCGAGGGACCTGGTCACTAATCTTTGCAGTATGTCTACGCTGTCGTCGACGTTGAAAGAATTGTTTCTAATCTTCCTCAGTAAATCAGAAACGCTAATTAATGGTACACGTTCCGCGTAAGTTAGGGTAATTGACAAAAGACGTAGCAGAGGGGAAGTGTACGCCGATTTCCCAGAGACGTAAAGTATGTAATTGTATAATACTAGAAATTCGTACACTGTGAAAATTACAGTATTCCCTGTGGTTACACAATTACGGTACAGCCTCTGCCATGTCTGTAATGGAAGAGGAATTGAAGAATTACGTTCCGAACAGCAGTCGTGTGAAAGTTGAGTATTACCGATTTCGGAGCGCAGCCATCTAATTCTTCTAGTTTATATTTCTCACTCAATTGAGAAAGTTTACTTCTTACGTAAGGAAATAAGACTATTAATATTAAAGACAGTTTCTTCTGTTCGTTTGATAAATTGCGTTTCACTTTCGAGTCTGTTGCTACTACGCGTTTCAAACCGTAGAACGCTTCAGAGAACGAAGCAGCTGCAATTGATTTCTGTAAGTTAACACGAGTCTCCGGGTCTTCGGGATATTAATTACTTACAATATTTGTTGAAGTAATATCGTTGGAGGATCGCGTTGAAAATTAAATACCCCTCGTCGGTCCATCTAAGGACGTGTCCGTATCTTTCAATGTTAAACGATACGATAAACTATAAAAAAATTCATCGTTTTCTAAATAACCGATAGAATTTAAGTTCGTAGAACGGACATCCGGTTTGCCGAAATTCCATAATTACTGATATTCAATAAATGCAATCCTTTATGTTATTCGTACAAAAGATTGCAACATTTTCGATAGACAAAATAGCAAAAATATTAGATATAAAATTCTGTCGTTAGAACACTTGTTCCACCTTTAGAAATACCAAATTACAAAGTGTTTAACCTACCGATAGAAGCTTTTTGAAAGCTGGCTCAACAGTGGATGCGAACGATTCCTGAGCAACGATTTCGAAAATAGAAGGTTTAATTAACGAAGTCCCGGTCAAATGCGCACCTTTCTCGGCCATTATAAAACTTTTCTATCTGAACACTAACGTCCACCTTGTTCATCATTTCATTTACGAGACCAAAGTCGATTTCGCATGCAAATTGCGCGTAAACAAAAGTTTATCAGCAGTTCTAGCTATAATCACGATATTGTCCTTCATTCGAAACGAATTTCGGAGATAAATCATAGAGATTATGAGAATTTCTACGATTACTTAACTGGGTCAATTAGAAGGGCGTGCAATAAAAAAGGTGATAAATGTAAATAAGAATTTTAATATTCATCTGCATAAACCACGTGCAGAGGCATCTATGAAAAGAAATAGAAATCACTGGATATTCACGACTGATTAATTAAATTCTGATAGCAGAAGATAAATTAGCTTTGCACCAAACTGGTCTACACGATTTTCCATTTCTTTCTCATGTGAGTTTTACACGCAATGGAAATGGAACAGCTCGCAGCGATAGTGCTGCTATTAAACAGCTGTTCTTGACCATTCCCATTCCTGACGACTAGTCCATTATTTGTTCGACGTTATTCGAACACAAAGAAACAAAGTGCACTGTTTATTTCAAATCGTATTCATTACTCTCTCGTCTCGCACGTATGAATAACTATTGGATCACATTGACTATGTATTTGGCGTGTAATCGCGCCAGCTGATCGAGTGTCCGCCGTCCATGCAACTCGTGAATGTTTCCTAACCTAAAAGATCTCGCGACACTTCGAAACAGTGCTTGTTTGACGACAAATAATTAAAGAGATTCGACTGGAAGTGTACTAGATCCTTCCTGCAATTTGTGAGTACATTTATCGCCTGTTGAATGCAAGTATTTGTTCAACGAGACAGAAGAGGAAGAATGATTCCGCAATAGGAACGTATTTTTCCGACACGAATGCCTTTTAACAAAGCGACAGCTGAGAACTGAGATTTCTGAAGGCATTCGTGTAGAGATATAATTTGCGATCATGTCTGGCAAGGGGAAACAGAGCTCGAAGAAAGCTGTGGTGAAGGTACGAGAGAGTGGGAAGACAGTACAGCCTCCTGCACTCAACTCGGATACCAGTACAGAGAGCACAGAGACTTCATTGTCATTGCCAATATTAAAGATCGCAGACAACAGTCGGCTTCTTCCAAGGTACAGCAGTATCCTGCAACGTAGCGCAGAGGAAGGTATAGGAATGGAGGACCTCGATACTTTACAATTAGAATTAGAAATGCTCCTCTCTTCGGTGGTCGTGCGACACCGCATGATTCAAGAGGAGATAGCAAATTTATCCTCTGCGGAGGAACGCAGGGACAAGAAATCTAAGAGTGGAAAGGGTCTCTCGCTTCTCGACAAGAAGATCAAAGAAGAAAAGTTCAAGCCTAAAGAGTTGAATGCTAAGACCCAGTCCCCGTTACCCGCGAAGCTGTTCAAACAGAAAGCTGTCGCCAGTTCGAACTCTCAGGTCATTCCAAACGTGCACGAGATCTCGAGGATCGAAGGTTCCAAGTCGGAATCGCCTAAATTACTTTTACCGAAGAACGACACGCCTAACAAATTCTGGGCATCCGTGGATCCGTACTGCACGGACATTATGCCCGACGATATCAAGTTGCTGGAGGAACTGATCACCACGCACAGCGATATCAGTGATTACAGAAAGATCCCGCCGTTGGGTCGTCATTACAGTTTGATGTGGGCGCACAACGACTTGCTGCAAGAAGAGGACGCGGCTAATCCGACTAGGGACAAGAAGAAAAGTCGCTCCGACGTGTCTCTGTTAGTAGGGAAGAACGATAAAAAGGCTCACAGTATAGCAGGACCGCTGACTCAGAGATTGGTCTCTGCTTTATTAGAGGAGAACGTGTATGTCGCGAATAATAATACAGACAACAAGCTGTTCAGGGACAGCGATCCACCTGTACTGAGGGATCTCACTATTCAAAATTCCATCAATCTGGAATTGAGAATGCACAAGGAGCTGGTGGAGCAAGGAATATTGGAACCGGATGCCCAGAAGAAGAGTCAAGAAGACGACGAAATTCTAATGGAGATAAAACGTTGCCAGCAGGAACTCAATGCACTTTCTAATCACAACGTGACGCAATTGAAGAGGCTGTTGAATTTGGCACAGGAGGAGAGCAAGCGGCAGGCTTTGAAGAGGAAAATCAGCACCGCTGATAACGACGTCATAGAGCATTATAAAAAGCTCATGCTTTCGAAACAGAGGAAGGTACCACTTACAAAGAAGGAGCAAGAAAAAGCGTGGTCTTGTCTCCGTGAACGGGAGAATCTTTTGGATCAGCTGAATATGTTACCGCAAAGCAACGTAGAACCTATAGGTTTCGGCACTACCACCAGTTAAATAGTAATTTTTTATATTGTAAAATATTCGAATCCTGTATAAAAAGTAAATATAATATCGATTTAATTTTTAAATTGCATCAAGTTTATTTCCAAATACCTTTCTTTTTTCAATTCTCTACTGAGCTCAGAAATCTTTAATTATGATTAATTTAGAATAACTAATTTGTTAGAAATTATCTGAGGAAACTTGAATAGAGTTAATTTATATAGAATAATTTAATGTATGTTGCCTAAAATTGGACTTTGGAAACTGGGATTAGTAATTTGGTCAAGGGGCATGAAATAAAAAAACCAATATTCATTTCCATTAATTTATTAATCAGAATTATTCATTTTTACAATAAATTAGAGATAGAGAATAAATTAGACACAGGGGAAATTGATTTCAATAGATGTTCATTTAGACAATGTTATGTTTTCGTTTTCCGCTTCGATAGTTTCATTGAACTAAGTAATGTATGATCGCTGCTTTGAATTATATTTATTCAAGGATAGCGAAATAGAAATTCTAAGATGCATTTCTATTAATTTATTAATCAGAAATATTCACTTTTACAATAAATTAGATTCTAAAGAGATGATATTGATTTCAATAGCAATCCGGCTCGAATATTAATTTCAAGCAGCTACTAAGTAGGATTAATGGAATAAGGAAGAATTGTGAAATAAAAATGCAAAGATTCATTTTCATTAATTTATTAATCAAAAATCAATAGAGTTATTTTCTTTATTTCGTCGTAACATTCATAGCACATTGTATTGATAGAGACCAACATACTTTACAATATTTTACAATTTGAGATAGAGAGATTCTTAAAATAAATCGTAGTTCTTCGCTTGGTAGCGTTTCCAAAGACTTTGCAAACGCTTCCAACCCAGGTCTCACCGCGTGGAGGTGACTACGTTCGAGACCCGGGACAGTGGACAATACCCACTGCCCCACACACCGCACACGCATACACGCCGCACGCAAATGCGTCTTGCGTTAGTTTGTAAGGGGATCGCTCTTCTCTCTTCTCTCTTCGATCTTCGATCTTCGTTCTTCTCTTTTCGATCTTCTCTTTTCGCTCTTCTCTCCTGTGTCTTGTAATTTTTGAAAATATATGACGATGATCTCGTTCATGCCTTCTTTCCTTCCTTCCTTCCTTCCTTCCTTTCTCCCCGTCAACTTTCCTTCCTGCCCGCCACCCTTCCTTCCTTCTTGCTATCCTTCTTGCTATCCTTCCTGCCATCCTTCCTTCCTGCCTCCTTCCTGCCTGCCTGCCTGCCATCCTTTCTGCCATCTCTTCTGCCATCCTTCCTGCCATCCTTCCTGCCATTCTCCTGCCTCCCCTTGTAAATTACCACTCTATAGTACGAAGTTAATATGGGAGGAGATTTGATACGATTACGAACTATTGACTCTAACTATTGACTCTAACTATTGACTCTAACTATTGACTCTAACTATTGACTCTAACAATTGATTAAAATTTGAAACAAAACTAAGCAAAAGAGGCCAAATTTTACTTGAGTAGCCAGAGTTCGAGCCAAGCAGGATCCTGCACAAGGATGACCATACCTCTGCGGAGAGTGCTCTGACCACGACCAATCCGTCTCACGGAGCTTACGCACTGCGCATGGGAATGGAACAGAAACAGCTCCTCGACTTACGAGGCAGGCCATCCAAGATACAGGATCCTACTCTTTTCTCCCCCCGGTACACAAGCAAAATCTGGTTGGGGAACTACTATTCGCGACGCGGGTATACTAAAACGCGAGCAAAATTAATTGATCGATACGAGAGACGGATGAAGTTAAATTAACTTCGCTATAGAGTGGAATTTAAGGGAGGCACAACTCGTACTAGGACACGGAACTCCGCATGCCTGGAATGTGTCACTTTTTAAAATTATCTCACTATGCACTCGTTGATAACTT